GTTATTAGATATTTAATGTACTTGTACAAATGTGCTACCAGTGCGCAAATGGTAAATCTGTATAGATGTGACCTGGCTCAGTACTGGTGGCCTTTTTATGGTCATTAGTCATGTTCCGATTATACTATCTCATGGCCACGACATAGAATCTCGTTCCCACGACTTAACTATCTCGTGGCCACGACTTAGTAACTCGTGGTCATGAGATAGTAACTCGTGGCCACGACATAGTATCTGGTTCCCACGACTTAACTATCTCGTGGCCATGACTTAGTAACTCGTGGCCACGACATAGTATCTTGTGCGCGCGAGATAAATAAACACATGTCACCTCTGTGCCACCGTAGATTATGCTATATCTAAAATATTTATTTTGGGCATTATAGTTTCTATATAAAATATCTTTAGAATTAAAGTTACTTTCTTATATAAGAGAAATAAATCAATTAAATAAATAATCCATTTTCACAGAAGTTCACCACGCAAATTGCTACAGCCAAATATTTGTTTTGGTAGGGTTTCACATCATGCTAACAGAGTAAAGGACATGTGGAGATTTTTAAGCTTTACTGGTGCATTATTTCAGGCATAAAATATGCATCGATTGTTTTCTATTATTTTATTTTCAATTTATTTACAAAAGAATTTTATTGTTCTTATTTTTTAACAAGATCAGAAGTAGGCAACATATGTTTGCAAATAATAATTTATTTCAGGAAACAATTGTCAAATTGTATTATGTTACAATATGCAATCAAACTGTTGAAAGTTTGTAAATATCTAATTATCATATGTTTCTTAATAAGTTACGAAGAAAATAAATTGACTAGGTCGCAAAAAACTTGATCATATTCGCCGATTAAAGGTGTTAAACCTGTTTTATAATTCAGTACCATATATGAAAAAAATCACGTTTTCCGGCGTTACCGCGAAGCACTATTCATGTACATTGGCCCTACCTCATAATAACGGCTTGAATCACATTTTATCAGCTTATTTTCAATTTTCTATGTCACCAGAATTGTAAAATATGTCATTTGCCTACCAAAAATCGAAATTATACGGTATTATATGCATTGTTGTAGTAATAAGAGTCGACAAAAAGCCAAAACCACACTCAAAACGGTCGCCAAGCCATCATTATCACGAATGATCTTGAAACGTAAGAAATTTCGTGGAAAAAATCTTGATGGGGGAAATTCCTTTTTCAGTTTGGTTTAACAAAAAATATATTGACCAGTTTACTTACCGCGTTGGAAATCTTGCCAGGTATCCGCCATTTATTTCACAATTCTGCGTTACGTTTTGTACGAATCGTGCGTTATTTTCACATTCCTGCGTTACTGGATATACACGGGGTTATTTCGTATTTGGGAAATCTTCCAAGTTACCGCTTGAAGAAAAAACCCCCAGATAAATCAGGCATAAAACTTAAAGCAATGTCATTCTGTTCACAAATTTGAATATTTCGCTTATGTGTAAGGATAAAATGAAGAGAAACCGTAAAATATTCTTGTTTAATCATTAAACATTGCACAGGGATCAGAAACAAATCTTTTCTTGACATATTTTTAAAAATCTTCAGCAGAATAAAACATGTATTTTGACGTATGCGTCAATGTCCCCGTGTAATTCGAGTCGTAAAACCAGTCAGTTACAAAAAAGAATTAAAACAATTCTGAAAATAAAATAGTAAGTTTACAGATGATATAGTTCTTAAATATATAGATAGATAGATACTTTTTATTCCTCCAATATTGAAGAGCAAAACATATTTACAAAACCGAACAATAACAGAGCATGGCAAATGTACAATAAATTACAAATCATAACATCTAAGCAAATATTATTTGTTTTACAATTCTTTCAGATGGAATAAATATATGAAGATATGCTGATATCTACATTTATCTCATAGGATGACATAGAATGTATGTAACAGACTTCATTTATATAAAAACCACATCGTATTTGTATTGACTCTGCAAAAACTAGAAGTTGACTATCAAATTATAAAGTATACAGGATACAAAAGATATATTTAATTGCTAAAGTTTAATTTGGGAATTCATGTATATTCATATCTTTCTTCGGTTACTTCTGTCAAAATTTTACTCGAAACGAAATAGCAAAATGATGACTAAGTTATTAGAGTATTTAAAGGTACTCTAGGAATATAACCAACTGTAAATTAATGGTGTTTAAGAAAGGACGACATTCAATGTTACAATACCTATCATACTGTTATATAATTACGATGAATTATTGCCAATCGAGGAAAAAAATTTATAAAACAAAGATAGATAATGATAGTTTTTATGAGATCATATCAGTGTTTAAGACGTTATACGTTAATGTCTCACAATAATGCAATTATATATACTTGAACAACTTGTATAGGCATTTTGCAATACTATGATTGTGCAATATCTTCCCATCATTATCTGCAGCAAACTGAACAACACCCCAGCACTGACTTTCTATTGTTGTTGTTGTAAGTGATAAGAATATATCCATGCCTTTCGATTGAGTTATTGTTTTCTCCTTGCAGGGTTTTTTGTACAAAAACATATCACATGCGCCACAACACTATCGTTTTTCACATAAAGAAATATAGCTTGGTGTCAAACAAGTACCAATTAAGTCTAACAAGAAGGAGCAAATATATTGTTGTTTCGGATTATGTCGGGCCACTTTCCACAGTTGGACTACCAGACAGAACAATCCGTTGGAGCTCTTGCCTTTTTGAGAGCAACCTTTCAAATCTATCATTATTCGCTCTCTGTAAAACAGTTTTAATCAGTACCGATTTCCAAGACTGTTTAGAAGGAAATATACCACAATTCACAAAAGTTCTCACTACTTCTTCAAGATTATACTTTTGAAGCAGGCGATTAATGGCAGGGATAAATCCAAATATTTGTTTATCAAAGAGTAGATATTTGGTCAGTCTGTTGATAAATACGTGTTTTACCAAATATCTGTAAGGCAAACGACACAGTTGTCCGAAAAATTGAAGCTTCCTGTAATTTATGATAGCTTCAATATCATTGAGGTTAATTGCATTCAGGGCTAAGTCTGTTGGGGTTCTTGGTTCGAACCCACTGAATGAATTTCGCACAAAACCTATGAGAAATTTCCAGCTGTTGCATATCTGTAGACGAGTAGCTATTCCAAAGTTCACAACTATACAATGCACGAGGAATGACAACAGAGCAATAAATAGTTCTTGAGGTGATTGGGTTTAAAAGTTGAGGATTTATGCCATTATTATGAATGTAAAGCAAAGTGCCGCGAAGTTTGTTTCCTGCATCAAATATTGGTTTTTCCAGTAAAGTAGTTTTACATCCTGATAACAATACAAGCTCGTACAATTTCAAAATTACTGATGATAATGTTATAGCACGAAAGTTATTGGGATCATCCCGCTTTTTAGTTCCTCCTTTATGTAAGGTTATAATCACGCCTTTTTTCATATCGTCTGGAATGTAGCCAATCCTAAGCATATGTGTGAAGATATTGGCTAAAATTCTAGAAACAATGTCTTTTGAATAAAATTAAACGTTCGTACACTAAATTATCCTCACCACAAGCTTTACCTGCTGGCAGGGTCTGTATAGCCTCAGAAACTGTATCTGGAAGCACACGTACTGTTTTATCGGTTGTGATAAGCCCCAGTGTTTCATTTACCGCCGTTGTCACTGACTGCTTCCAATTTTAATCATATTCTTGGGATTCATTAAATGTATACAAAGATTGGAAATACAGTCCCCACTCTTTTGATATTTGTTCTCTGTCTCTTATTATTTTACCGTGGAAGTTTATACCTTCAGTCATTTTACATTGACTCTTTCGTTTTCTGGAATTCACAAGTTTCCAAAATTGAGTTGAATCGATTTCTGCAGTTCTATCCAACTCGTTGTCCTGTTGAATAAGAAAATCCTCTGAGCACTTTCTCAGCATCTTGCAAAAGTCCCGTTTAGATGGTTTATATTTAACGTAAAATACATTGTCGTTTCTACGTGGTCACGACACCATTCCTCGCGTAGCAATAGCATTTTCTTGTGTAAGGACGATAGTTCGTCATTCCAGAAGGGTTTTAAATATTCCTTTAAACGTTTCTGTGGTAACACGTGACACGCACTGTTCAATGAACTAGCGGAAATCACTGTGTATGCTCGATCAATACCATCTTTTAACGAAGTCACAATATTCAAGTTCAATAAATTCATTGTCAGATAATAATAAAGACTGATATTGCACAATGCTATCATCAGATGCTTTCTTCCAATTAATAGTATACACATTACTGCTTGAATTTGTTAGCATACTTGGTTCTACAAATATATGAATAGACATGACAACAGGCCTGTGCCTCGATACATTTAGACTATTATCATCCATGATTTCACAATAAGACACAAGATCAAGCACTTCATTGGGTAAACATATATAGTCAATAAGTGTTGAAAAACGATCATCATAAGAAACATATGAACATGTGGCACCATAACATGTTGGTAACGTATTCACAGCTATCAAGTTACAATCTGTTAAAAACTTAAGAATATAACTGACGAGATGTTAAGCTATTCCATTGTGAATTATAGTCACTAATAAACATAGTCATACCATATTGTGAATACATGTAATACAAATCATATAGTTTATTAATGTAATTTTCAAAGGAGCTCAGTGATGATTAGTACATGGTAGGTATATTTGAAATATATACATATACTGGTTCAAACCAACTTGCAATTGAATACCTACAATTCTGTCATCGTCAATGTTTAATGGCGTTACAATATTATCAAAACGCTTATGCCATAAAAGGGCAACGCCACCTTTACCTGATCGAGATCTGGATAATTTATTACTCTCATCACACACAGCATGGAAATAATAGTCTGTCTCAATACTGACTAGAAAATGGACATTATCAGGTAACAACCAATTTTCAGATAATCCACAAAAGTCAATTTGTCCTTGCTTAAGCATACCTGCGAGATATGGTACACTCGACATTAAACCTGTAACATTCCAAGTCATTATGTTTATATTCATAGTGTAGTCTGTAAAAAAATTGTTATTTTAATAGTACACTGGTTTAAGTAAGACTTATTAGTCACTATAACAATCCAATACTCCAAAGGGGTTTCTATCAGTAAAATGATTGTTAAATTGCGCTCTATTAGAAACACACGAATGATCAGCGCGAGCACGTGTCGAGCTATGTTCCCAGGATCGCTGCCTAAATGTTCTGGATTTCCACGGTTCACATGACATATAACTAGGCCAAAACCTATCATTCAACAGTAAATCTGCACTAAAATCTGCAGCAACATTGACACGAACGACAACTCTATCTCGATATCTTCTCATAGGAAAAGTTCTAATAGTATACACAGTAGGGGCCTGGAAAGGTCCTATCTCATTCGCCAGGTATCCGCCTTTTGAGATAAAAGAGTGAAGAATATTCCTATTCATAGATCTCCGGAAACCTAGCAAGCAGAAGTGACATGTATGTTTAGTTGTAGAAAGCTCAACATCGTCATTGCTGGGTGTTACACGCGTATAACCTCTCTCAAGCACCGGTATTCGTTCTCTGGGGTATGTAGTCGTTTCTTTAGGCGCAAAATCGTTGTCTTGAGGCCCTGTCTCGATGTTACTACTCTCTGCTACTCTTGGAACAGCAGACAATCCCAGATGAGCCTCGTTTTCAAACGACATTGTCAAAGACTCAACACAGATAGCGTCTGCATATGTTGGAGGATTTGGTTTAAAACCCGTCTCTGTCGTCTGCTCATTTTCAATAGACATAACGGTAGAGGAAGAATCGACAAATTGTACCTCCTCGGATGACACACTGTTAATAGATTTGTAGGCTGTGGGAATATTTTCATTAGCAGGAGTATTTATATTCTCATCATAATACAGTTGTGCTTGTGGTATATTTTGAGATGCCAAAGGTGCTACAGAATATAATGAGTTTGTGTCTATAAACTTTTCTAGCTTGTTGACACGGTTTTGCAAATCAACTTCACATTTAATAATCTCACTCTGTTTTTTGCTCACAGCAATTTCAGTTTCGAGGACACTTCCACGCACACTCTGCTTACCCTCCAGAATATCGCATTTGATATTGTTCATCGTCTCTTTCATAAAGTTCATCTGTCCTGCCTGCCCGTAATTGGTCGCTGGCATGCAGGCTTTGACTCAGGAGAAGAACTTACAGCTTGTAATGACGATACAGTATCGTTGAGCAAAGCAAGTTCTGTCAACACTGACATTTATTTTGAACAGAAGTTTTATCAGTAATTTTTAAATTACTCCTATCTGGTGTTGTGGGGAAATCATCAAGGACAGCAACTGGTACCGAACGCCGTCGCGATGTACTAATCATTTCCTTGAGTAAACTGTAGTCTTCGCCCTGAGTAACTGAAATTATCGTATATATATCTTGGGCTAGTTTGATTGCTATCGGGTCACCATTTCCCCTAAACACTCTTCGTTTTAGTTCTGCGCTAAGTCCAAAAGGAAAATCATCATGCTCCTGTTTAAGTACTTCAAAATATTGTACACGGACACGTTCCAAGTCAGATTCTGATGATGCATACATCCTAAGCAAATGCTGAGCAAATAAGTCTTTTGGCATATCATGATAAAGCTTTACCAAGTTATTATACTCTTCAAGATCTTCATTGTGTGGGATATTGAAAGTATCGTACTGACTCTGTGATTGTGTTTTGCCTGTAACGGCACTAGCATATGCCTTTGTATTACCCGTATGAGCCACTTCCGTGTTTTCTTTTAATGATATCAGTTCCGATTTCCCACTGTTGTTAATTGTCCCTCCGTCGCTAGACGTAACCATTGTCCTTAATCCCGAAAACAGCGCCGCACTCAAGCGTAACGAATACAATTGTCAGTAGGGGTGAGTGATCGTATAATCTTTTCACAGGCACTTAATTTAAGGCCGAAGAGCGCTGGTTAGTTTGGACTCTATGTGACATGTTAACAGTAAACAGAAAGTTATCCTCAATCTTCAGTTTCTATAAAATATGTATACCTATATCAACTCCAAAATGACTGAATAACACAAAGCGTATTTGCGTCTCAGGCACTAACTATCCTTTCTTTTTTGTTTGTTTTTGTCCAATGTCTCCAGTATAAAGCACAGATTTATATCCAAAATTAAATATCACATAGCCAATATATTTATACACATGTACACCAAATATCAATATGAAGCACTATTTTGCATTAAAGAAATAAATAGTTAAAAGAAGACACAACACAACAGTCGTTCACACTAACCGTTCACACTTACTAACAATCTTTTGCAATTATAAATATGGCACAAACATGACAAAAACCAATACAAGGTAATTAAACAGTAAAATTTGTCTAAAAACAAACTATAAAAATATAAAAGTAAAAAGAAATTCGGTACAGAAATATATAATATATATGCTTTGTATAAAAGTATCAACACATCCCAATAAAATGTGAGAGGACTGAAGACTATGATCACTCAAATTGTTTATGTAATGAGTATTTTCATATAATCAACAGATACTGATTTGAATATACCGGGGAAAAAACCTTCCGGAATTCCAAGGCATACCTTAACACACACAGTAAGAATCAGTACAAGAATTTAAAGAAATCGCGTATGTAAAAGATAGCTTACAAATAATATCTCAAACTTCTCACACACAATGCAAAATGATCTAAAAGTTGAAAAATAAAAAAATGTTCAGCGCTAAAATGAGAACAGCAATACATGTAGGAAGTAACGAAATGTTTGACATATTTGTAGCTGAAGATGGTTCTGTAACCAGCATATGTTGTCCCTCTGTTCGAAGCCGATTGTCACCTCGTTCTAAAAAAAATATATACTACATGAGTTGATGCAGCGTTAATGTAAGTCATGATACAATTTGTGATTCCTGATTAGTTTGCATCTCTTCTAAAATATCGGATTTTATGAGGCACTTTAATTGATGAGGACAAATAAAAACAATAATCCATAGAGTAACGAGTAAGCATAATTTCTATACTTAAAGGTGTACTACTGAAATATCATTTACATCTAGAACTTGATTCTACTGAAATATCTCTCAACATATATTCGAATCCAACATACCTTCAGCTACATGTGTTGCTTTGTCTTCAAGAGTCTGAAAATAAAGAATTTATTTTTTTATATTAAAGAAACCAAGGATACTAATTACTTTTATTGTCGACATCTACAATTGCATATTTCCATTGACCATAACTGGGAGGCACTTTGTGAGGAAAAACTGTGTTAAAATGTTAAATAGTTTTGTGCGGATTTAAAAAGATTAAATCAACATCTCAGAAATAACAAAATGATTTTTGCATATTAAACATCCCAGAAATCAACAGAACAAACATACATTGTATATGATAACAAAATAGTTTGTATTGTACACATACACATTGACTTCTTAAAATCAACTTTCTTCACTAGCTTGGTAAAAAGTTTTCGTTTATTATTATTTATAAAGTCAGGATGTTTGAGAGAAATCACAGGCAGTCGGTGTGTGGCTTGGATAGCATACATGTACATGACCACGCCCACTTTTTTTATTAAAAAATTTGTCACTAATAAAATATTTTTTCACTCAAAATGTTTTTAAAATATCTTATTTTCAATAAAACAACAATAGAAAGTTGTTTTTAAAAATTTCATCCATATATTTACTATAAATATAGTAAAGGAAAAATGGTTCGCCAGTGGAACTACCACAAGGCCTTATTTTACCTCCCATTTCTTTGTTAATTGTCAACCAATTTTCACCAAATAAAGTGCAATTTACGCAGAAATGATTTCTCTTTCGAAAAGTGTACAATATTAGACCAGTTGGTATGACAAAAGGTGGAATTTGAAAGCGAAAATGCACTTTTTGTCTAGGTCCGACATCGCTTGACCGAGTCGAAAGACGACGATTTTGTTTTTCTTAATAACAAACTAATGTCAGTGCATGCAAACATTTGAAACAGAAAAGGCAGCTATAATACTATTGCTTACCGGTCCAAATTTAGTAGAAAGGCACTTTCTACCTTTACTATATTTTATAGTATATATGGATTAAATCTTTATAAACAACTTTCCTTTGTTGTTTTATTAAAAAATAAGATATTTTAAAAATATTTTGAGTGAAAAAAATATTTCATTAGTGAAAAAAAAATATTTATAAACAAGAGGGCCATGATGGCCCAAAGTCGCTCACCTGTATATAGGCCCCCGGAGCGGGGCCAGTTTAAACCCCAGGGCTTTTATTTGAACAAACTTGGTTGACACCCATTAGAAGATGTTTCATGCTAAACATCTAAGGTCTAGCTTATTGGGTTTTTTAAAAGAAGATTTTTTATGTATGTATATATATATACGGGGCATCGGTCTATTTGAGACCATACTTGTGGGGTGTATATGTAATGTGGGGCATACATAAGGCCTCGCAACTCTGGCATGTTTAAAACGATGTATGGGGGCGTAGGCTACCCTGAGCATTGCTCAGGTGAGCTAAAAATAAGTGGGAATGGTCATGTACATGTATACTATCCAAGCCACGCACCGACTGCCTTTGAGAGAAATGGGATCCCATTAATGACCAGTATTCTATAAATACTTTATGTAATTAAATCACAATATTCTTTAAATACTTTATGTAATTAAATCATTTTAAGCTGAATTCTCGTTTTATATATAGTTAGTTCTGACTTCCATAACTTTATATGTCGCTTTTATTTTGACGTTGCGACAGTGAACAGGTCTAGCAATACTATAAAACCTGTTCGCTGAAGTCTCTTTAGCTAATATATACATGTAGTGTGCCACCTCTACTGTGGAAGTAGGATAGATATGTTTCTAAATTGCGTATAAAGTGACGATCATTTGTAATTTATGTAGATTTATAACTCTCTAATGGTTTGCAATATATAATCTAAATAGTAGGCTAATATAACTTGAAATGTTTCCATGATTGGGTCATACCTTTTTCAGTTTTTGCCAGCGCATTTCGTTTATATCTCTTTTCCATTCCCCTTCATTTGATCCTTTTATATGAATTGGGTCATTGACATTCAACTCCTTCAGTGATCCTGTATCATTGATATTAAGAGTGATTGGGATCATCTTGTGTTGGTGTTCCTCTTGTAACAAATACTTAAACGCAGCTTGTTTGCAATATTTAGCCCAGTAATTTCTCCTGAACTCTGGGGTTATAATTACTAAACATTTCTCTGTCTCCGACACTGTCCTAAACAGTTCATCAAACACGTTTCTACCCGCTAAACAATCCCTATCTGCAAGATAACATTTAAAACCCCACCCACTTATTTTACTGTCTAAATAGTGAACGAATTTGGTAGCGAGTAGATTATCATCAGTCTCTTTAATTTCAATATTATTATATATAAAATTACAATGAAATATTTCCTTCGACATATTTAAAGTCAGTGTTACAACATGGAAAGTTTGATATAATTTTATACTACTTTCGTTATTGATTTAACGGATCCATATATTCGATTGAACGTGGCATTAACCAGTATGTATATATTTATAGTACAATATATATATATAACTGAAATCAAAGCGCGAAAATTTAAATAATGTACTTCTTATCGATTAACAACAATATTAACACGTTGCTCATGTAACATGATATAATTATGCTAGATCGAAACTAACGTAGAGAATAATTAATACTTCTGTCACAAGTAAAGCTTCGTATCTGCAGTGATTCTTCAGAGTTACCACTTGAAATCAAAGTGCTGAAGGCACTGCAGTTGGGACGTATGAAGGATCAAATAACTATTTTTTCTATTTCGGGGCAGATAATTCAATGAGTGAAGGGTGTTGCCGGTTGATAAATATAAAGTGCAAAATTCAGTAAATGAACAGTAGTTGATACAATTATTCTATGACACACATGTTCAAATATAATATTTAGGTTACATGTACTATAGGTCGATCATAAACCGTTATTGGCCTTTTTTGATAAGAGCAACAAGTGAAATTAGAGCTACCAGAGGAAACAGCAAGCTTGACTATTTTAACACATGACATTATAAAGGGAGACAAAGCTATGAAAAAATAATCAATTGTGATATATATCAAATTTTCTGAATCGGTATCAAGTAAACACTCAAATGGTCAATTTTTTTTGCATCACATTATATGAATGTGACCATGTCATTAGAACTTATAATGGCCTTTGTTTACTGCAATTCTCATGCTAATCTCTTTCACTGTATAACGTTTATAAAGTTTCAATCAAATTCCTTCAATATTTTAATCCTCTCTCAGAACAGTATCATGAAATATATACGGAGATAATTCAAAAACTAAGTAATGTAGAATTTTGGTTATTTGACACAAGACTTCTGCTCACTAGTCTCTACAACTGTATTTAGTTTGAGTGTGATATCATTGAAAAGACTTACTCCAGACAACCATTATTTTAAAAGTTGTTGAACATGTATTTTAAGAGATGATAATTGTAAAACTAAGCTAGAAACTAGAACTCCGCGAGTCGGATGTGTCACCTTGTGAACAATGCAGTTTAGGAGAAATGGCCAGGACAAAAATGAAATATGAAAAATAACAAAGGGCAGTAACTAAAAAAATAATAAGTTCAGAGCAGCATTTTCTGAACACTGCACTTCTTATCAATAAGATCTATCATACTATGATGGTTCAAGTCCATAGCTTTCATACTTGAGGAGAAATGACCAGGACAAAAATAAAGAAAGAAAATCAACAAAGGGCAATAACTCAAAAAATAAGAAATGCAGAGTACCAGTTCTTGTGCACTGCACTTCTTAATGAGATCTATCATCCTATGAAGTTTCGAGTCCATAGCTTTTATACTTCAGGAGAAATGGCCCGGACAAAATTAAAGTATGAAAATAAACAAAGGGCAATAACTCAAAAAATAAGAAATGCAGAGTAAACAGTTCTTGTGCACTGCACTTCTTCTTAACGAGACCTATCATCCTATGAAGTTTCAAGTCCATGGCTTTTATTCATTAGGAGAAATGGCCGGACAAAAATAAAATATGAAAATTAAAAAAGGGCAATAACTCAAAAATTAGGAAGTACAGAGTACTGGTTCTTGTGCACTGCACTTCTTCTTAATGAGATCTATCATCCTATGAAGTATCAAGTCCATAGCTTTTTTAGTTGAAGAGAAATGGCCCGGACAAAATTAAAGTATGAAAATTAACAAAGGGCAATAACTCAAAAAATAAGAACTGCAGAAGTACCGGTCCTTGTGCACTGCACTTCGGTTATTAAAAGAAGCATGCATACCAAGTTTGAAGTCAATCAGACTTATAGTGACTGAGTTATGCTCTGGACAAGCTTTAGGGGACGCCGACAACAAAAACAGACGCCGCCGACAAAAGTAACCCCTATTATGTCACCTTTTCAAGGCGACACAAAAATTAGGGTTCTTTTGAAAAAACACTTTCTTTCACTTGATTATTTTCGCTGTGTAAAAGTTTAATCAAATTTCATCAACTCTTTTCCAGTATTAAAACTATTTCTCTGGACAAGCATAATTAAGTACATGTATAATAAAGGTAGATAATTAAAATAAGAGGGCCATGATGGCTCTGAGGTTGCTCACCTGTATATACCCCCCCCACCCTGCAGGGCCAGTTTTAACCCAAGGGCTTTTATTTGAACAAACTTGGAAGACATCCATAAGAAGATGATTCATGCTAAACATCAAAGCTCTAGTTTTATGGGTTTTTTTAAAAGAAGATTTTTTAAGTTTTTACTAACACATACTGTTAAAAACAATGACAACCCTGGAGCAGGGCCAGTTTTAACCCCAGGGCTTTTATTTGAACAAGCTTTGTAGACACTCACTAGAAGATGTTTCCACTTATAATATAAACTCTAGCTATTTGGGTTCTTTAAAAAAAGATTTTTTGAAGTTTTTACTATATGCATATAGGGAAAATCAATGATCCCCTGGGGCAGGGCCAATTTTGACCCCAGGGCTTTTATTTGAACAAACTTGGTAGACACTCATTAGAAGATGTTCATGCTAAATATCTTAGCTCTAGCTCTTTGGGTTCTTTAAAAGAAGATTTTTTAAGTTTTTACTATTTGCATTTAAAGAAAATTAATGACCCCCTAGGGCAGGACCAATTTTGACCCCAGGGCTTTTATTTTAACAATCTTTGTAAACACTCACTAGAAGATATTTCATGCTAAAATATCTTAGCTCTAGCTCTTTTAGTTCCTTAAAAGAAGATTTTTTTAAGTTTTTACTATATGCATTTAAAAGAAAATTAATGACCCCCTGGGGGCAGGACCAATTTTGACCCTGGGCCTTTTATTTGAACAAACTTGGTAAACACTCATTAGATGATGTTTCATGCTTAATATCTTAGCTCTAGCTCTATGGGTTCTTTAAAAGAAGATTTTATAAAGTTTTTACTATATGCACATAGGGAAAATCAATGACCCCTGGGGCGGGGCCAATTTTGACCCCAGGGCTTTTAATTAAAAAACTTGGTAGACACTCACTAAAGGATGTTTCGAGCCAAATATCTAAGCTCTAGCTCTAAGGTTTTTTTTTAAAGATGATATTTAAAGTTTTTTTCTTTCGGTTCCCATGGCAACCAGAGTTCAGCATGGAATTAAATTCTTTGCACAATTTTTAAAGGTGACAGCCAAAGGAACATTCTTGTGAAGTTTGGATGAAATTAGCGTAGTGGTTTATGAGGAGATGTCATTTAAAGTAAAAGTTTACGGCCGGACGAAAAGGGATCACAAAAGCTTGACCTGTCACTTTGTGACAGGTGAGCTAAAAACTAAGGAATGGAGTTATGTTCTTTGACACATTGGAAAATTCGAGTCGTTCAAGTTGATGTAGATTCATTGATAGTTTGGAATAAGCATTTTTAACTTAAGGGATATAATTAAAACATGAAGCAAGGTAGAGTTATGTTTCTTGAACATTGCACTTCCTCTTAAAAGTCTCTATCACTTTGTGAAGTTTACATAAAATCCCTTCAATACATATCTAGTTATATTCATATTTCGGACAAGAGTGTGAAGGACAAATGTCTTCCTAAGTACAGACTATGTTTTTTTTCCTTTATCAACTAAAATCTCAAAAACACCATTAAAAACATATTTTCCTCCCATGAGGAACCTTTTTCCCCAAAAGTACAAGTCTGTATGTAATGAACACAGATATTTATCCAGAATATTACTTGAGTCCATACCGACAGATGGTTAAGACCGCAACTATATTCTCTCCCTTTCAGGAGCATAAATTATAATAACATGCTTAATCTCTGTATAGTTCTATATCAGATACCAGTATGATGAACCTTACTTTTGTACCATTTAAGTTATAGCAAAATTCAGCTTTCATTGACATACAGAAATGGGTCAGCCTTTAGTCCCCTCTTAATGAAAATAGAAGGGGACTAATAACAACAATTTATTCTCATAGTTTCAATTCTCAGGTTTATTACTTATCATTACACCAGGCAAGCTAAGATACATGTTAAAACCACAGGCACTATATACCACATTTACCCATATACGCTCATAATACTATATATAAAGAATAAAGGTCCCTAACGAGAGAAAAATATCATGCAAAACAAACAAGAACTGTTCGGTAAAAAATACACCAGATCACTATTTTATCTTTGTGGTTGTCTCTAGGAATAATGTATCCTATCATAAACACTTTTTACTTCATCGAAATCCTACAAAATGCTCCAAAATACGAGCAAGTTTCCAAAATTTCACTGAAATGTCATTGCATGTCGTTTTCGACGTCCAAGCGATGCGTGTAAACAAAGGTGAATTCTGGTCAATTTCTACAAAATCAACCAATAACTGTTAAGATTTCGACATACTTTGTATAGTTTACAGTCAAACTGCGATGTCTTTACTTCACAACTGTCCGACGATAACACTAACAAGCTAAAAAATTAAAAATAATTGACAGCTCCGTTCCAGAAAGTAACCATTTCCTACATTACCGCACTGAATATAAGGTAAAGTAATGATTGGTTAAGCGGAAAATCCGAGTTTTAACATTTTCCTTCAACACAATGTTCATGACTGGCCTTTTACTATTCAATTCAGACTAGCCCCTCTAAAATACTCCAACTAGTCCAAAGTGTTAATGGTGCCTATACAGTTATGATCACTACATCTGGAAACTGGAGATTCCCACCAAGTGTGATGCTTATCTTCATTCGCTTGACAGTGACACATGTCCACCTTAAAAAAAAGCAATAAAAATTATATGAAGTGCAATAATTTGCAAAAAAAAGCTTATCTTATTTGTCTCTTCTTACATTTATAATGCAGAGCACTAGATTTGTGTGTCTGTCATAGAAAATGACTTTCAATAATACTATTTAAATGTATTTGAAATACAATTTCTTTAATAAATACTCATAGTAATACTAAATTCCTTTTTTGTGAATTTTTTTTCTGACACATATGTGCAGACAGTAATTTGTGTACACCGGTCTTACTGACCTGT